TCTCCGTCCTAGATAAATTTGCAATCTCAGTCACCTCTTTCATTCCTCATGCCCAATAACCAGTGATCTCTGTTTAAATAATTATTTTTAAAAATATTTTTATTTCCTTAAATATTTCCCAACTACATGTGAAAATTTAAAAATTCATTTCCTGAAATTTTAAGTCCCATATTCTCTTCCTCCCTCCTGCCCCTTACCCCTCTTTGAAAAAGCAAGTAATTTGATTTTGTTTATACATGTGAGGTTATATAAAACACATTTCCATATTAGCCATGTTGCAATATGGCTACACACAGACACAAAAACAAGAAAAATACAGAAAGTGAAAAAACGCATGCTTCAATCTGCATTCAGAGTTCATCAGTTCTCTCTCTGGAGGTGGATAGCATTTTTCATTAAGGGTCCTTTAGAATTGCCTTGGAATATTGTCTTGATCAGTATCTCTTAGATCTTTGTCTTGATCATAAGTCATTCACAGTTGATCACTGTACAATATTGTTGCTGTTACTGTGTACAATGTCCTCTTGGTTCTACTCACTTCACTCAGCATCAGTTCTTGTAAGTCTTCCCAGGTTTTTCTGAAACCATTCTGCTTGTTATTTCTTGGAGCACAATGGTATTCCACCACAATCATATGCCACAACTTGTTCAGCCATTCTCCAGCAGATAGGCATCCTTTCAATTTCCAATTCTTTGCCATCACAAAAACAGCTGACATAACTGTTTAGGTCTTTTTCCCTTTTTGATCTCTTTGGGATACAGACCTGCACAATTTTAAAGCCCTTTGGGCATAGTTCCAAATTGTTCTCCAGAATGATTGGACTAGTTCATAACTCCACCAATCGTGTATTAGGGTCCCATTTATTCCACATCCCCTCAAGCATTTGTCATTTTCCTTTTCTATAATGTTAATCAATCTGATAGGTGTGAGGTGGTACCTCAGAGTTGTTTTAATTTGTATTCTTCTAATCAATAGCAATTTAGAGCATTTTTTCATGAGTAATTATTGATAGGTTTGATTTCATCTTCTTAAAACTTTCTGTACATATTCTTTGACTATTTATTAATTCAGGAATGGCTCATATTTTTAGAAATTTGACCGAGTTCACTATATATTTGAGAGATAAGGCTTCGTCAGAAAAGATTGCTGTAAAAATTTTTCCCCCAGCTTCCAGCTTTCCTTCTGATTTTGGCTACATTAATTTTGTTTGTGTAAAAACTTTAATTTCAATTATCTATTTTACTTGCTGTGATTCTCTCTATCTCTTGTTCGGTCATAGACTCTTCCCTTATCCATAGATCTGACCGGTACAATTTTCCATAGTTCCCTAATTTACTTATGATATCACAATTTATGTTTAAATAATTTATCCATTTTGACCTGATCTTAGTATACAGTGTGAGATGCTGGTCTATGCTTACTTTTTTTCAAACTGCTTTCCACAGTTATACTGAATACTTCAAAAGAGATCTCTTACTGCTTGCCAACTATGAAATAAATGGATGTCTACTGGAGAAGAATCCTTATCTTGTGTAACACTGACACAAAAATTCAAAAGGTAGTGGGTAGCATTCATACCTATTTTTGCAGTCCATGCCATAGTAATTGGGGAGAGACTTAAAGAAGAGAGATGATCAAGGTTTCCTTGGGCATACTTCCCTTCCACCTAGCCCTGAGGAAGACTATATTTCCCTCCACAGAACCCTAAGAGTACATTTTATTTTTTGCAATCCTGGGGGAGAACATTCAATACTCATGTAATTCCACAAGAGTGCTCATGGACCTCCCAAGTTTCTAAGGAACAGTGAATGATCTCTAGGGATTACTAATTCATTTCCAGCTTCTCTTCATGAAATCCTCACCTCTATCACTAAACACATGAATAAAAACTGGAAAGACTGAGTTTCTAGAAGGTCTATAAGCATTCAAGGTCTTTCGACTACTCCCCAGCCTTATTAAAGTCAAGAAGGGTTTAAACAGTTGTTCTCTCAAATCTCTGCCAGTAATAGTGGCAGGTGTTTTGGGAAAGGGTTCCCAGGAGACCTGGGACATTTGGTCAGCTGGATGCTGGACAATTATTACAAGAATGGATTTAAACTCCGTCAGTTGTAAGGGCCATTCAAACTTAGGCAGAGTGTTGTAAACAAAAGGCACAATATAGGTTGTGCAGTAGAAGCCCATTAGAAGACGCTTCCATACATTTAAATACACTGTGCATAAGTTCTTACCTCCCCCCCCCACCAAACCCAATAACTCCATATGGCAGGGAGATGTAGTAACCATGACTAGGGAGGTGATAGTCCTACAGCACTCCTCCCTAATCAGACCACATGTGTACTGTGTTCAGCTCTGGGCGCCACTTCAGGAAAACAATTACAACATGGAGAGGATATAGAGGTAATTGGTGAAGTGAAAGGCCTTGATGTCGTGCCATACTGAAACAGTTGGAGATGTTTAGCTCACAGAAGAGAATGTTTAGAGAGGACATGAGTCTTTTAAGTATATGAAGGGCTATCACCTGGAAAAGGTGTTGTGCTTGTCTGAGAGAGCAGAACTATGAGAAGTGGACAGAAATTATACGGAAGCAAATTTAGACTTGATTTAAGGAATGACTTTTTAATTTTTTTTGCTTTATTTTTCAATTAACAAACATTTGTTTTCTCTTCCTCCTACTTTTTCCCACAAACCCCTCCCATTTAATAGAAAAAGAAAGAAAAAAATCTTGTAACAAATATATGTAGTCAAGTAAAACAAATTCCCACTTCTTCTGTTTATTACTCCTGTGGAGTAATGCATGTATTCAAGTTCCTACTATTTGAAGTGGAAGTTTAGAATGACTTTAAAGTATATTTCTCTAATTATTTCTGATTTGGAGCATTTTTTGTTTTTCAGGAAAAAAGTTACTTTTGACTTTCACAGAACTGCCTGTTTTGTCAATTTTGTTGCTTCAATGTGTTTTGTGTAAAAAGTCTGTGAGACTTGGGTCCAGATCCTACCTTTGACATTTAACTTCTCTGAGGCTTAGTTTCCTCATCTGTAAAATAGGTATAAATAATACCTATAATTCCTGCCTTGCAGCATTATTGGGATACTCAAATGAGATTATATATGTATATGTATATATGTAAATGTGTATATATATATATATATATATATATATCTCACTATGTAAATTCCAGATATTACATCTTTAAAATATGTTGTGCAGTATGGTATAGCTGGGTCCCAATTAGGGCAAATAATGAATCCTAAGAAAGGTCTAATTATCTGAATTTGCACTGCCCATTTCCATGGGGTTAGAACCAGCTGCCCCATTTTGCATAACGCTAACTTCAAATGGTATGAATTTGAATACATGCATTACTCCACGGGATTCATTATTTGCACTAATCAGGACCTTGCTGTATAGTAGAAAAAATAGTTGGGTTTTGAGTCAAGTGACCTGGATTCAAATCCCTGTTCTTCCCTTTATTACCTATGTAACCCTGGGGAAGTCGCTCATCCTTTCTGAGTTCTGGGAAGTTTCTTATCTGCAAAATGGGGGTGGGATTGGGGATGTACTAGATGATCTCATAGGTCTCTTGCAACTCTAAATGCAATGATTTGACTTGAAAAAATCTCTACTAGATGGGCTTCATGGGGACAGGAGTCCTATCCTATCTAAATATCGTATCTTTTCCAAGACCCAACACACACTTACTACTTAGGTGCTTATTAAGTGCTTACTATGTAGGTGCCTAGTAAATGTTTACTGAATTAAATTACCTATGTAAAGGAAAAGAGAAGAAAACAACATTTTACAATATGATCAGAACTGGGAAGAACTGTAGAGATCACCTCCTTCAAACCCCTCATTTTAGAGATAGGGAAACTGAGGCTTAGAGGGGTTAAGAAATTTGTCCAAGTTCACATAGATAAATCCTACAGACAGGACTCGTACCCAGGTCCTCCAACTTAAAATCCAGTACTTTTCCATACTACCTTTCCTAGCACAGTTCTTCTGCTTAGTAACTGTATAATAAGGTGACCAAGCTGAAATATCTATGATATACAGCAGCGTGTTAGAGCTAGCTTCCAATGGTTCATGAGAACTGATTATTAGATTCTCAATGTGAGCATTTATGCTTTGGAGATGGACAAATTCTGCAAAGTGGGGCTTGATTTATTGGTTGCTAATTGTCTAGACTTAAGAAAATGATGGAGAAAATGTTAATAACTCAGATTAAACTTTAATCTGTTGTGGGCACTTTCTTTTCTTCTGGAAAGCCACTTGTTAAATGCTTGTCAGCATGTTCCTATTAATATATCGCTTCCAACTTCAAATCCTGTCGTTTCTAAAACCAGTACAATTGCTTTAGAAGACACCATTAAAAAAAAAACTCTCCTGCTCAAAACCAAGAAAAGGAATTGTGCAATTAGAGAAACCACTTAACAAGGCTTGGAGGCAGGCAAAAAGCTCCTCGGCCGGTCACGGCAACTAGACAGACGAGAGACATACGGAGAAGAACACAGAGCTGGCATGCACTTTTATTGAGTGAGATGTGATGCTCTAGAATGTCGGCCGCATGTACTCTGAGTGGAAATGCCGCCTGTAACATTGCATTCACCAACCTGGCCTTCTCCATCCCCTCTGCCTCCCCCACCCCCAGCTCTGGCCTGCACACTGTGGCAATGTAAGAAGGTTTCCAGTGGAACGGGATTTGACCTCCTTGACCCCATCAGGGAATGTTTGTAGTTTTTTCATATTGTCTCTGCTGGTGCACTTGTGATAACAGGATGGGGGGCCAGCCAGGGGCTTCCTCGAGGCAGCTTGCCAAATTTGGGTGTCAGATCTCTTGGAAATTAAGGAAAGACCCAACCTTCTCCTCTCCACAGCCTTCGAAGCCTCCTTCTCCCTAGAATATTTAAGCTACAGAATTGAATGGCAAAGGACTCAGCAGCTTGGATCCTGCATTTCCCTAAGTTAGAATATTTTTTCCCTGGTTCAGACTCCGCGTACCTTTCAAAAAGACAGTGTCTGTCAAAAGCAGATCAGGGCAGGGACAGCTGTCTGGGGGAGGTGCTGAGTTCAGTTCTCAAGGATGCCAGACTCTGTGACCCGCTCGGGATTTCCTACTGGCTGGCCTCTGGATGCTGGTGTTTGCTAAGCTTTAGACAAAGATGTGTGTCCCCTCCAGAGAAGGCTGGTCTAGGTTCCGTAACAGGCTTGCAGGCCCTCTGAATCATGATTTCCTCCCTAAATCCCACAAAAAGAAATAATGACACGAGCAAATGTATTACTTGGGCAAGGGGTTGTGGGATGAGGAGAAGGCAGCAGGGGCAAAAAGGGGAGCCCAATGTGAATAAAAGGAATTGGGGCAAATGAGCCAGGGGTGTTGAGTGAGAGGGCTCCATCCATCTCTCTCTCTCTCTCTCTCTCTCTCTCTCTCTCTCTCTCTCTCTCTCTCTCTCTCTGCCTCTGCCTATCTCTCTCTTTTTTTCTCTCTCTCCTCATTCCTCCACCCAACTGAGAGATGCCTCCCTGGCAATATTGACACATCCCTCCCCCCATTCATGAGGGAAAAATATAAACTTACCTCCCCATCTCACTTACCTTTAGCAAATGGCCTGCGCAAGAAGATGTCTGTATGAAATTGTGGGTAGATAGCTCAGATGTAGAAAAAAATTATACTTTAAATTGACAAATCAGTCCAAACCACTAAGGTTATAACTCTTTTTTTTTTCTTCCAGCAGAACAGTAAAACAGACCTGTTATTGGCAGCTCATTAGCAGTGAGACACAGGCCGCCCATGACATCAGCCCACCACTTGACCCAAATCTATTATTTCGCCAGAGATTCTTACCCTGAGCTCTCTCCAACCACAGAGAAGACATCCATGGTAGAGAATGCGTGGGCATAAATAAGATACAGATTGGAGACTTTTTGATGTGTTTAGCACATTTTTGTTACTTCCTTTAATACCACAGACCTTGCATTCTTCAAACATTAGGAGAACAAAAGACAAGCATGAGGGGAGAAGAAAAGAAACATTTTTTTTTAAAAGAGCTGTTCACCTACTTAACATTTTCAATTTGATCCCTTAAAAAAGATGGGGAAGAGGAGAACGAATACCACAGCTGAGTAACTTCAGATATAAAAAGTTCCTTCATTAAATCAGTTGTTCTTTAATTCATAATTGAACCTAAATAAAGAATGACTTATAGGCAGCTGGTTCTAATATTGAGTCCCCACCACACATGAAAGACACATTTATTCCTGTAGCAGCCTCTCTACCCTTGGGTGTTATCAGCTGAACATGTTTTGAACCTACCTAATGCATTTGAGGTAGCTTGGGTTTATTTTTCTTTCAATAAAATAAATGGTTTTGTAATTAAATTTCTGCACCGACTGTGCTTAATGGTTACATTGACAAGTGCTAATGTATGGCAAGAGAATGAGCTTGAGATGAAACATGTTGTTTTTGAATCTGCAAGCAATTTTGCAGCCCGGGCAATCAAAATCCCTGTGCCAGGGAAACATTTTCATTAATCTGCTAACTTTGTGCACCCTGCCCACTCAGCAGCGCAAGGACACTCATTCTCCCTCCTCCCTCCCCGCCTTTTTCTCAAAAAACAAAAATACCATGAAGTGAGCCGTTGTTTGAAACCATTTTGTGGTCTCTGGCAGGCGGGCCTGTGGAAATTCGCTGACTTTACACCGTGAAATGTTGCAGCTGTCTCCGAAAGGGCCTGGCCGCCTCCGATGTTTCAATCCTTGGCAACAAGTCAACTCAAAAAATCTGTCTTTCTCTCTTTTTTTCCTTTCCCCCCCTTAGCTAAATTTATTTTTGAATAAATCTTCTCATAGAAAATTGAGAGCAACTATTACATATTTGGACTCAGTCTCTGAAAACCACTTCAAGCCACTGAGAAGTGTGCCTGTCCACCCCCCATCCCTCACCTCAGTGTGTTTGCAAAACTTTCATGAATGGAAAACCAACCAGGCACATTGCCGGCTTCACTGTCCCTCCTATCAGTCACCTTCCATTTGGACACATGAGGAGATGGGTCATTTTGTTCTCTCCCAACATTCCAAGATGCCAGGTAGCTAATTTTGTCTATCTCCTCTAAACTCTCATGTTTTATCTCACCACTAGAGGGATGGCTTTCCTGGGCAGCTATGAAATCTACTGCGGTCTCTGGCTAGGGAAGGCTTGTAAGGGATAACTATACTCTGGCATTTGGAAAGGTTCTATAGCTGGACAGAAGCACTGAGGTTCAGCCTTGGAGGCTTACCCCAGATGTACATCTGTGCCTTCCCTTTTTTTTGTTACCATAGAAGGGAGTAGCTATAGAACAAACCTTTGGCAAAGACTCTGTTTCCCTCCTCTACAAAGGCTGAACTCAAAGTGGATTTCCTTGCTTGTGGATGGAAGTAGGAAAGGGCAGTGCTGGGTTAAGTCTCTGGGACACCTTTTAAAAGGTTGTTTCCCCCATCGGGGTTCACAGTCCACCTTATAGGAAGATGCAGTCAATGACTGTCTATGTGGTAAGCCTATTGCTGGGGGCACAGGAAGCCTACTTACGCCAAATAGCTTCACCATCTTAGATATTTGAAATCCCATAAAGTGGCAAGAACAGCATGGCACGGTAGAAAAAAATACCTATCTCTGAGCCAGGAGAACCAAGGTTCAAATCCCTGAGGGTCCAGCATATATTAGCTATGTCAACTTCTTCACTTCGTCATCTGTAAAATGAAGATAACATTTGTGCCACTTTATAGGACTGTTTTTAAACACTATAAATATATGGTAAGGGAAGAAAAAGCCTACTGTGTGCCGGCCACTGTGTTAAACACTCTACAAATATTATCTGTTTGATCCTCATAACAACTCTTAGGAGGTAGATATTATTATTGTTGTTGTTGTTGTTATCCCCATTTTAGAACTGAGGAAATACAGGTGGGCATCAGTGACTTGCGGAGGGTCACACACAACTAGTATCTGAACTGAATTTGAACTTGGGTCTTCCTGACTTCAGGCTCAGTGCTCTATCCGCTGGACCGCCTCAGCTATCTGGGCCTCATTTCCATTATCTGGCAGTAACACAACTGGAGAAAGAACTTACAGTGCAGATATCTTAGGAGAGGTGAAAGTGTGGCTTACATCGGAACTGCCAAATGATTGGTATCAGAATCTTCCTTGAGTGTGGATTTCGATGGGAAACGAGGGCAGGAGCAGGAGCAGAAGCCATGGGCACTTGGAAGAGGGAAAGAAAGAAGAGGTGGACAGTGCTGAAGACAAGCTTCCTAAAATCTCACAGTTAGAAGGGACCCTTGAGGTCGATGCGTGCCTGGACAAAAACAGCCCCTGCAGCCTCCTTGACACTGGTCATCCAGCCTGCAACCTGCTACCTCTCAAGGTGACCCATTCCACATCGGGACAGTTATTGCTACAAAGTTGCCCCTTACATAGAGCTGAGACCTGGTTCTCTGCATCATACATCTCCTTCAGCCAGGGGAGAGTGGGTAAGAGCCTTGGCCCTGGAATCAGAAAGACCTGAGTGCAAATCAGCCTCCAACTAGCTGTGAGACCCTGGGCAAGTCACTTAACTTATGCCTGACTCAGTTTCCTTATCTGTGAAATGAGAGTACCTACCTACTCAGGGTTGTTGTGAGGATAAAATGAGATAATATTTATAAAGTACTTTACAAACCAGAAAGTGCTATTATTATTATATTATTATTATTATTATTATATCATCATGATCCTCTGGCACTGAGGACAAGTCTAATTTCCCTTTCATAAGAGAATTCTTCAAATACTAGAAGACCACTGTCATGGCCTATTCCCCAGGCCTTCCTTTCTTCAAGCTAAATAAAACCAGGGCTGTTAAGTGATTCCAGTAAGGCATGGCAACCAGTCTAGTTGTTCCCTGGACATATGCCAGCTTCTAAATGTGACCTGCAGACTGAACAATACCCTCGAGACATGGTCTGACCAGAGCAGAGTAAGTACAATGGGACTCTCACTTCTCTTGCTCTAGATGCTGTCTCTCCACCATCATATAATTGGCTAAATGATGTAGAGAATGCAAGATCTCACTGTGTTTACTGTTTATCCATTATTTTTGAAAAGAGCCATTTGAGCTGGGCATGGTGGCACATGGCTCGCGGGGAAGCTGAGGTTAGCAGGTCTCGAGCTCAGGACTTCTGAGCCGCAGTGGGCTACGCTGATGGGGTGTCCGCACTAAGGCCAGCATCAGTTATGGTGAGCCCCCAGAAGCAGGGGTGGAGGGGCACCAGATGGCCTAAGGAAGAATGACCTGGTTGAGATCAGAAACAACATGGCAAAACTCCTGTGCTGAATGATCAGTGGTGTTGGGGCTGTGAGCACCCTCTGTACTTTGAGATGGGGAGAACCAGTCTTAATTTAAAAAGAAACATTTCAGGGCAGCAAAGTAGCATAGAGTACTGGCCCTCGAGTCGGGAGGACCTGAGTTTAAATGTGACCTCAGACACTTACTACCTGTGTGGGCCAGTCACTTAACCTATATTGCCTCCAAAAATAAAAAATAAAAAGAAACATTTGATTCAGCAGAATAAAATGCTGTTTTAAAGTCTCTCAGCAGTCAAGGTGCCTCCCATCTATACATTAGTATTATTCAAGATTCTTTGAAAGATGCAAAAACAGAGATATTTTGGTTCAACAACCTGCTGACCATTAATATCAATCAAGGTGCAAAACAGGAAGACATGTGCTCACCAAAGATGCTTGCTAATGTGCCGGAGGAAGTCTAGTGACAAGTCCACCTTAAAGACGAAGCCGCGTAGAACCTAATCTTCAAAGCAGTGCTTTCTGATAGGGTTATATGATTAGAATGGCTATCTGTCTTGACTCCTGAAGGGAGAGCCATGGAAATGACAATAGTCAAGTCCATTGTTAGTCTGGTCATGGCACCAGGGAATGGTTAGGATGAAGTGGATAGATAGGGCACTAGATTTGGAGGCCCAAGACCCGGATTTGAATCCTGACTTAACACCTGTATGTCTTTCCTAGAATTCCTTAAATTGCATCACTTTGCACATGAGGCTGAACCTGGTTGGCTTAACAATTAGTCTTACCATGAATTCACTGCTCAGAACTAGAAAGACAAGAAGGGAAAGAACTAGTCACAGATCCCCTGAGTGGCTGCTTTGTCACTGTTCCAGGACAATGAAAATATTGTTTAGTCTATGTCCCATCTTAAAGAAGTTCTGTAGCTTTGGAGGCAGCTGGGTGGTATAGTGGATAGGGATCTGGACCTGGAATCAAGGAGACCTGAGTTCAAATCTGGTGTTAGACACTTATTAGCTATATAATTCTGGGCAAGCCACTTAGCCTCAGTCTGCCTCAGTTTCCTCAACTGTAAAATGGGGATAATAACAACACCTACCTCCCAGGGTTGTTGTGAGGCTCAAATGAGATAATATGTGTAAAGTGCTTAACACAGTGCCCAGCACATAATAGGTGCCATATGAATGCTGGTTATTATTATTATTATTATTATTAAAAAGCAGAATTCTTATTTGTAATGGATCAAATAAAACTAGATGGACAATTGGAGAAAGACCATTATCGGGGGGGGGTAGGGGAGGAAGAGAGAGGAGGTCTCAAGGCACCAGGCCTAGCCTCTCTAAATGGTCGATTTTTGGCCTTGCTTAATCCTGGGTCCCAGTTTTCCCATGTGATACAGGAAGATACAGGCAGCATACGGATACAGGATACAGTCAGCCCTAATTCTTATGACCTCACATTCCAAGACTCCCCAAGCTACAAAATTCCTGGAGTCTTCCCCTTATAGAACTTATATTGTTTCCATTATGGAACATTAATGCAATCATGGAATTACGGAAGTTGTCAAATCCAACCCTCTTATTTTTACAAAACAGGAAATGGACACCTACAGAGATATAGTGACTTGCCCATGATCATACAGGTGGTAAGCGGCAGAGCTAAGGATCTGAACCCTGTGATTGCAGACTTCAGATCTGATATTCCTTCTACTGTATTGTGTCACCCTATTCTACTCTAGAGCACTGGGGGAAAAAGCAAATTTAAAACTGGAAACCCTAGGAGAAAGTTAAGTTAGGGGGCACCGTTTCTCTACTAGGACTTTTGTTTGTTGTTACAAAGATGTATAAATACAGTAGTTTATTATTTTTTTCTATATCGTTTCCTCTCTCAGGCTGAGAACTCCCCCAAATCAGACATTGTGATAGCTGTTCTCAGAAATTCCCCTGGTACTTAGCATATAAAGTGGTGTGCTTAGACACTGATGATGCTGAAAAGGATAAGATGTTTGCTTAGT